ACTGATGCAACACGTGCGCGGCGTGTAATCTATTACGTAACATGTTACATTTTTGTAATTGAGATAAACAGCTGTTGATCTTAAGACGAGATGGTAAATCAATCGTAACAAAAGCTACAGTCCACTTGCTTATCGCTTTGCGAATTTCTCTCTTTCTTTCTCTCCTCAGAGCTTTCTCTCTTGAGCTACATACAAGTTATTATTACTATAATTTCAATATAATTACAGAGTGACGATTAATTAAAATCCTATAATCGATCGTGTTACGAGATTATAAAGTGCCACCAGGCACATTGTAATTTATTCGCGATTGTTAGCTGAACGCGTATCGCATGTATTCGACTCAAATTAACATCGGCGACGTAGAAGCGGAAGAGGCGCGATGGGATAGAGAGATTACGAGGCGCGTCGAGTGATATGACAGCTTTAATTATGGCATATATAGAAAAGATCGACTCGTGAGCTAATCGCGCGGAATAGCCGTTTCACACCTCGATAACCAGCATTCAGGCGTCGATTCCCGGCGTCTTAATTTGCAACGTGCAATCGAGCGCGGAACGATCGGAAGGTCCTGGGTGTCCCTTACGAGGTGCGCCCTCGCTCCAAATTTAAGCTCGCCGATTCTCCCGCCTCGTTTTCTCGATTAATTCCGATAACCTTCGAACCTTGTAATCGTTTGCACAAGCATTCGTTAATCGAGGTATCGAACTGTGCACAAAGTTCGCACGACCTTCGGTATGGCGTTTTTTTCAATTACGTTTTCCCTCAGCGGAAGAAAATAGGACGATTACGTAGAAAAACTGTCGATAAAAAAAAGATAGGTAAAAGATCAGATTGAAGAAAATGAGATACATCGTCGGATATTCCTCTTCTTTATTTTAAAGCGGAATGAAACTTTAACGAGATCTTTACGCCGTCTGTCGTGTCTTAAAAAACACATTTGCGCAAAAACACCTGTGTACCCGAATCGAATCAAGCCTTGCGCGAATGATGACTTGATTCCGTAACGTGATTATATGGGACATATGGGATCTTTTCGCGTGTTGAGCCTGCGAAACAGTAATCAAAGCGATACGTGCACTATTCGCTGTTGCGATAAACACACTCGCACTCAATCTCAAAGCATTGTAACTCGCGGCCTTTTCACCCCTGAAAATTCGCCCTGTATCGAGCGATTGTTGTTCCTTCCGATATCGATATCGTACTCTCGCGGACAACGCGTTTCTAAGTCATCCGTGGGACGGCGTCGCGAAGTGCTTGCGCACCGCCAAAGACGACACGACAACGATTATCGTAACGCGCCGCGCAACTGGTCGCGCTCGATCCGCGCGCGAGGAACGCGTGAACGCGTGAACGAACGGACGTGCGTGCATGCATGCGTGCGTGCGTGCGTGCGTGCGTGCGTATATGATACCTACATCGGCGTCGCTCGCGCTCTTGGATAGCGAAGACTCCGTTTCTGCGCGCGACGCGGTCGTACGATCGCGAGACTGTGGCGGCGCGGCGTGAAGTTGCTTCTTTATAGCGCGATGTGGCGGCTAGGAGAGCCGCGCGCGCGTGTGTGACGTTCATGCCACGCGTTCGAAAAGCGCGCGAGAGGAGGGTGTAGTCGACGGGACGGGGGAGCGTGGACGGAGGAAGAGGAAGAGAGAGAGAAAGAGAGAGGAGATAAATCGACGAACAACGCGATGGGTGAAGCAAAAATCACGCTAAATCCACGAGCGAGGGACGCGCGCGCGCGCGCGCGCGCATGCGTGTGTGCGTGCGTGCGTGTGCGTGTCGAATATCCTCAATGATCGCCGGAGGAGAGATCGTCGGAGGTCGCGCCTTTCTCTTTCGGTGCTCCGAACGCGATTTTCGGGGAAGGGATATGCCATTATATTATCTCTTCTCTCGCCCTCGCTTCACTTTCACGGTTACCTCCGGTTACCTCCGGTTTTTATCCGGTTGTCATCCGGTAAAAACCGACAAGGACCCGGTGAACCGGTCACACGAGGGAGTGAATGACTTTCTCCACACGCACGTAGTGGGGGTGAGCCATCCTCACCTCGGGAGGGTACGTATCCCGGCGCTGTAACCCTCCTCCACCACCTCCGCAATTCGATGGCGGTCGTCATGGCGAATTCATTGTCACCCCGGATTCTATCTGCGCGCTTCTATTTCCGTCTGACGTGCGCAACGAATCGAAGCGCGTCAGAAGGTATTGCCCACGCATGTAGGATCGATATAATACCTTCTCCTGAAATTCGGAAGAGCACAGGGAGTTGGGCGAGAGGAACACTACTCGTCTTCGCGAATCTCGATCTGTCGTTTAAATCTGTCGTCGCGTCCACGTGACAGAAAAAAATGTCCCCGACAGTGTCTTTGACAGAGAAGAAACGCGCGTCGCGTTGAAAAATTAACCGTCGTTCACTAAATAAAATTATTTGAAGCTCGCAAGTATATTTGCATTTTGGCGCGCAAAATCGTGGGAGAACTTCATCCTTTATCCTTCCTCTCTCTTTTTTTTATCGATTTTCAAATTGCCGCGCGAAAGAGAAACAGAAGAAATGAAAAAGAGGAGAAGAATTCTGTCTCTTTTCCGCTTTATAAAAACACATCGCAGCAGCATTCGTTTTTTGCCTTCGTCTTCGACTTGTGCGTGTTGCATGTATCTACAGTGTGGAAAAAATCGTCATATCCGGCAGTTACGAGACTACTTGGCTACACACGCGACGCGACTCGCCGCTCCTGTTGCACGTGAAGGCAGCCGCAAATCATCATCGATCGTATGAGCGCGGGATAATTCGAGTTAGAATCCGCGTGAGTTCGAAAAGCGCGCGGGCGATGGGGAAACATATCTCTCTCTCTCTCTTTCTTTCTCTCTGTTTCCACCGACCATGCGACTGGTCGCGCCTTCGTAGGTGGAGCTACCGACTGCTTTCTTGCCTCAACGGATCACTTTCATTCTGGTGTCTCGAGCTATATTTGTATTTCAAAGCGATGCTATGAGAGGCAAAGAGAAAGAGAAAAATAATACCCTCATACATAACAATAACTAACAAATTTTTTAATAATTGAACGATAAAATAATCTTGATGATTCAAGATCAGTGAAAAGTATCAGTAGAATTAAAACTTTTCTAAAAATTATTTGAGAAATTATTTTTAATTATTTTGAAAAAAATTGATCAAAAATTAGAAAGAAAATATTCTAATAAAGAAAGATAAATTTTCACAATATAAATAATTTCTTATTATTTATATATATGTAACTCTGTCTTTTCAATCGATTTTTATAAGAATAATTACCTTCATGTTGTTTGTTTGTAATTTTCAAAAAAGTAATTCAACACGATTAAGGGCTAAATAATAATAATATGTACGTAAAATATATATTTATTATTGTTAAACTGTTATTATTAAATGTATTTTTATTTATGTTTAAATACATTTAAAAATGTTAGCGTAACATATCGGTTACTTAATAGTCATAGAGAGAGAAAGAGACGAAATGCATCGTTTTTTCTAACGGGAGTAGTCTAATCTTTCAATTCACAATAACGGAAATATCTGGTTGACATCAACAAGCGTTATCTAACAATAAATTTGATGAATGAGACATTGGTGTTTCTCAGCTCGCTCCATATATATACAAAAATTACATTGATTATGAGTACTCTTCTCAATGAGTATCGAACAGATTGAATTGCTCCATTCAGAAATATGCTTTGATCCCCTCCCCTCTTCTTTTTTCTTATGCCGCTAAGAATAAAGAATAATCTCGACTATTTTTTTTTTTAAATGAAAACGATTCGAATGGAGGTCATATATGATAACATCATTTGTCATTGGGGCTTAAAGCGGCACGTGTTTCATGAATTCGTGAAGCAGACGCTCGTCGCACATGCGGGCCGAGTCTGACGGTGGAAGAAACTAACGGGATTATTAATCAGCAAATATCCGCAAAAGTCTGGTTGAGAACCGCTGGTGCGCGTGCGACGCGAATGCGCGGATGCGAGCGCGAGTGAGGACAGGAGCGTTGCGTACAGCCGACTGTGTTAACGGTGCCTGGTTAACATTCTCATTCTCTCCATCTCTTTCTGGTCTTCTTTACGTTCAATGATCGGATTTGTCTCTCCTAGGCGATACTTGAGGATTGCGTTTCGTTTCATACTTAATCGTATGGTTCGATTACCATTTGCGAAGAGCGGAAAGAGAATCGGCAAGAAGTGCGTTAACAATGTCCGGTACGCCATTCGTGCACCGGATGTTGTTAACGCATCCGACTGTACATGCCTTGCGCGCATGTATATACGAAACTACGTGTTCACCGAGAACGAATATTCCCGGGGCCGCACGCAAATGCGTCCTTGTGCGAATTAATTGCTATGCGTGCGCGCGCGCACGGTCGCATTAATTGCGTGCTCTCTTTTCCACGCTTCAGCCTCTTTCGCCCGCCGCCTCCCTCCTACGCGCGGACGCGAAACGTCGCCCAATTGCGAGCAATTTACTCAGCCCGCCGTGGGTCAATGCTAGATCCGCTATGCCGCTGTCGTCGTCCGCGAACAGATTCCATTCGAATCGTCGTCGCCATCGAATATTCGTGACTGGAATTATTCGCGTTCGAGCAGAGATGAAAACAGGATTCCCTTACACACAGGGTGACTCGAAGCATAGAATAGATGCTGAAATAGATTCAGATAGCGATGTATGGTCAGTTATTCAATCGATGTCACAAAAAAGAAATATGACTTTTCTTTTTCTCTTTCCTTAAAACCGGAATTGTTCTGTCATTCAACTTGATGTACAGAAAGGTATTTGTAAAAAAAATGTTCATTGTTCCTTCAAACGGTTACGGCAGTCTCAGTAGGTCAATTTGAAATATTCCTGATGTATTTTGAGATTTAAAGCCGCTGATGCCATGCAACTCAACCAACTGACAAGTTTATTCTTGCTGCAACATTTGTTATCGATTAAGTAATGAGAATTCTTCTCGAACGAAGGGATGTAAAATTTGTTTTTCAAATTTTCATTTCTTCTTTTTAATTTTCTTGTTTTCTTTTTCACTTAATGTTACTTCTCACCTTTTCGACATGTTCTGCAACAATCCCTGCGAAAAACACGGATGTAAATGCAGAAACGGTGTGCCGACGACAGGGTGAATCGCTTGCGATAATTCTATGTAATTCAGTTTGGAGCCGAGGACAGTTTGAGCCTCATTTACGGTCACCGGGTTAATACCGGGGAAATCTAAAAAAAAGAGACAAAATAAAAAAATGTGAACCAGAATTGAACCAGATGTCTCTCACGACAATTATTTCTCCTCGCTGAGTGAATACGTAAAAGATGTGATCAATGTTAATTAATCTAAACGACATAATGTACGTTTCCGTTCCGCCAAAATGCATTATCGGGATTAATTAATATCGTCGGCATATCTGCGCGAATATTGAAATAGTCGGACACGTCTGCGTTTATAATCAATAAAACGATGCATGTGCGAGGCAGGGGTAGCATGAATGCACCCGGTTCCGACAACCGCAAATTTCCCGAGCTCTATCTCTATTCCCATAACTTTCGAAATTTCGCAAAGTCGAACACTATGTTGCGTTCTCCTCGGAAATAAGGCTTTTATCCTTTCCTTTCGTTCCTAAATGATCTCTGGAACATTTCCCTAAACATGTAAATATTTTTTTTCAAACAAACTGTATGAATCCTTACAAGTAGCTTTACCTGACTTCCAACCATTGAAGAAGAGAATTGGGACGCTGTAACTAATGGACCACAAAATGTGATGTTCGCTAATAAAAGGTGACTCATTTTTACAAGGAGTTTCGTGTGGGTCTTCCCGAAGTTCCACGTGGAATTCTTCAAAATCTTTATCGTCGTCGGTCGATTCATCCTTTCTCGTAGTGACATCGTTCGGTATGAAATATTTGGCTCTTCTAACTAGATACGCTTGTCCAGGAATATCCTAATAATGCATATTATTATACATATCATTAATGGTAACATTAATAAAAAAGTCAAGACGGTAGTTTGCAAACGTTGCGCGGAGTACAAATATATTTCTCGAACGTCGGCCTCCTTTTAAGCAGCCATAATTTCGATTTCCCTCCCCCCTCCCCGCAAAGAGTATATAAATAAAACCACATTTTAATCGTTACTAAATTTACAATTTAATATGTAAAATTTCAAATATTGAATTTTACAAAATTTTATATAACTTTTATATAATTTTATATAATTTTATATAACTTTTAAATTTTACAATAGCACACGAACAGACAGTATAATTAGGAACTTCATTAACAATGTTAATTATCCCCAATTTACATATTTATGCCATTCAATGTAATTTTTATATATAATTCGTGCGAGTAAGCAACTCGTGACGATACACGATGATGTACCTTGTCCCCGCAAAGCTGCCATCCATCTGATATCTTGTCTGAAACAACGAGAAACTTTTCTGCATTCTCGAGGAATTCTTCCCATGTAAGCGTACCTGAGCCGTCCATGGTTACGGAACATCTAAATATCGAGACATTTATTTTAGCGGACAAAACTTATATCGTATTCTTTGTGTACAATATGTAAAAATTATGAAGGATTTTTCGCATATTTAATTTCTAAGAGAGTTAATCGCGCGAGATTTTTCGTCGGTTAATGCCTCGCCCGATTTATCTCGGCCCTCTCGCTCAAACAGGGCGAGGAGGAAGGAACAGAAAGAGATAGAGAGAGAGAGAGAGAGACATACGAGAATTATAGAACATTTTGTCTAATTTCACGTAGCGACGTCCGAGTTGCGACGTCGATCGCATGATAAAATTGAAAAAGGGGAAGCGGTTCACCCGAGAGAACAGCGTTACCTCCCCCCGCTCCCCTCCCAATGCTACCTTCTCGCCAAACTCTCTATCGCGTCAATTGTCGACTATTTCGCGTCGGACATGTCCGTCGACGTTCGGCTATAATCGGACCCCGTACCACTCTCTCCCGTCCCGCACGGCTGTTCCTGCTCGCGTCCTCTTGCTCCTCTCTTCGAGAGACTGCCGACGTACGGACGCCGATATAACATTCGACGGTGTGTGCATGCGAGTGTGACATGGCACCGTGTGCGTGCTTCGGTCGCGGTCCAATCAAATGCGGAGTTGCAGTCAGTGCCGTATCATTGGCGGGCATGAGAGCGCGATTTCGCCCTTTCCCTCTCCCTTCCGATTCGTGAGTCCTTTTCGGGACAGCTTCGTCCTTTATTCGACAATGTGCCGTCGACGTGTTGTCACGCGATAGAATTTCTCGCTTGTTTTACGCCTGCGCCTTTATCGAAAATTCGAAATATCGACCTATCCCAATATCGCATAGCGCGTTTTTAACAACAACGGTATTTCGTAAAACACACCGCGCATCGATAGGTAGCTCATCTTCATTGATGATGACGACGATGATAATAATGATGATTCTGTCGCGAGAAATATCTTAGCGTACGAAAAACACGTGTCCCGCGAATTCATTCAACGAACTTGATGAGATAGTACGCTTTTCACGTCGATCTTGTTGTCGTTGTTAACAACGATTGAAATTACGATTGAAATTAATAACAAGGCCAATAGGAGCTAAATATATTGTAATTATATTTTGTGACGCAGAAAAAAAGGACCGAATAATAAAAGTTGTCGCAAAGCGACAAACTATCACAAAATCTAAAATATGTGTTACGATCGAACGGAAAAATACTTGACATGAAAAAGAAATTTATGATACTTTACGTTGATTTATGACTTTGACAAGAAATCAAAGACAAAACAAATTTTTTTTGTTATATCTTTTAATATCCTTTTAGGTAAAATATTTTTAAAATGTGACTCTGCATTATTGCTTTATCTTTTTACATTATTCAAGAAACGAAGATCCGTTTTGTTTGTGATACATTAAATCTCGGACAGAAAGCTATTTGTCCTCGTTTTGTTTGTGACACAAAGAATAGGCTGAACAGAAAGCTATTTGTTAGAAAACTTTCTCTTTGGGATAAATATACAATAGATACAATAGAATTGAAGGACGACAGAACAATTTAAGATTTTTCAAAGATATATTGTTATACAGATTTGTTGAGCCGATATTTTAACGATAATAAAAAATCAAACCATTGTGGGTCAGTCAAATTCATATTCTAAGAAATAATATTTATATAAATTTATATGGAATGAATATAATTATAGCTTTGTTTAAATATTCTAAAATTGTAGTCCAAGTTTCAATATTTCTGCACGCGAAAACGCTTTATTTTTAATGAACTTTTCAGATATTGCATAATCGCAATATCAACAAGACCAAGCATGATCGCGCGTCGGTGAATCACTCAAGATTACTCAAGAAAAAAAAATGGCTGTCAAGGCAATTTTAACTCTAATTAAATTTTTTCGTCTGACATGCAAAATTGTTCTACTTGTCGAAGATACCAAAAGCTTCTGGGTATCCAAGGAAAAAGGGATCTCGGTCACTTTCTTATTTCTCGAATGTACGGCACTGGCATAACAAGCAGCGGTGCGCGCGCAGCGTTTCCCGGCCGGTGCGAGAGACGAGAACGGCGAAATGGTACGGTGAGAGATGGAGCGAGAGGGGAGCGGTGTGAAGGGAGACGCGATCGCGAGCGAGCAAGCGAGACAGAGCGTAACGAGACGAGGGCACGACGAGGGAGGAGAGGGGATGTATACTCCGCCGTTCATCTGTATGTAGTCGTGCAACGCGTGGGGATCCGTGCGAGGAACACTTCCGAACTTGCTCGTGTTTACACGACAGTAAGTTCAGCCCGTCCCCTGTCTTCACTCCGTCCCTCGGTCTCGGCCGTGTCGTTTCGTCTCTCTCTCTCTCTCTCTCCCTCGTCGCCGTCGGTCTCTCTATCGGGCGCGTGCGTGCTATGTATTTGACGACGTACGCGTAGCGCGGACGCGTGTGTGTTTGTGCGCGCGCACACCGAGTACGTATGCGTTATGTACATCGTGCGGCCGCAGTGATACACCGTTCCCGTGTTGCGAGACGCTTTCGGGCTGAACGTGTCGCGACGAAGCGAGATTCGCCGAGGACGGAGAGCCGCGTCCGGTGGCGGCGACCATCACCTCACCGGGCCATTCGTTTACGATACGATCCCGGTTACGATGAGCGGTAATACGCAACAGTGGGACGAGACGGCACAGTAGTGGCTGGCGAGAGAGCGTAAGCGGTATGAAGTCAGCAACGGTGAAGTGAGCGAGCGACGACTTCGGTGAGCGAGTGTGCGGGTTCGGTGTCGCGATCGTGATTGAAGACAATAGCAAGTGACGCGCGCAAGTGAAACCGTGGCACGGTACCGGAAAGGCGGACGAGATCGCAGGAAAGAAGTACGGTGAACGATGAGGACGTCGACGGTGGCGGCGGCGGCAGCGACAGCGACAGCAGTGGTGAAGACGACGAGGCGCCCCCAACGACGCACCTGAATCAACGACAACGACAACGATAACGACGACGACGACGATGACGACGGCGACGTCGTGATGCGTCGCACCGTGTCGCTCCAGTATCGCGCAGCAGCAGACACCTCGCTCGAGTTGTGACGCGACGTGTTCGTGACGTGAGGCGACGAAGAAGCGGGACGAAGAAGACCTTCGTCTTATCGGTGTGCGCGAGCGAGCGAGCGAGACGTGAAGTGAAGTGGTGAAGAAAAAGAGAGAGAAAAAGAAACGGAAACACCTCCCGCGACTCCTTTCTGTGTGTGGTGCAAGCGAAACGGAGACAGAGATAGCGAGATAGAAAAAGGAAAAGAGAGAGAGAGAGACAGAGACTCGGATTGAAAGAGCGCGCACGAGCGCCGCCGAGCGTGCCGAAGTGTGTGCACCTTTTCCTCGGGTCGCGTCTCCTTTTGACACAACATCGCACGTCGGCGACGTAAGCACGCCGAACGATTACCGTTCGCCGCTCGAGTGAGCGAGACAGACGCTACATACGTACGCGTAGGATACACACACCACATACATACGACAGACGCAGCACACATACGCGCGCGGAGACGCGCGTAGCGCGCGCGCGCGCGCGAGTGCGAGTTCTCGATTCTTTTCATCGCTCGGCTTATCCAGCGGCACGCGAAGAAACACGGCGGTACATTTGTGTTTACGCTAGAAGCATTGACCGGCCACCACGGCGACCATGTACGCGGGGAAGGGAAAAGGGTCATCGGTGCCCTCGGACTCTCAGGCCAGAGAAAAGTACGTATTGTATATGTATTACCAGGCAAGGGAGAAAGAAATGGAGAGCAGAGAGAGAGAGAAAGAGAAGAGAGAAAAAGCAAGAAGGGTAGAAAAAACAGCAGCAGAAAGGTGATATGTGTATATTGTCGTGAAAATTCCGACCGGCCATTGATCGCTCGGTACAACTCCATTTTTCTCGGGCATCCTCCTCCTAACTCCCCCTTCCGCGCGCACCCGGCCCCCGCTCGCTCCATCCGCGCGCGAGCTCTTCCCCTCCACGCGCTTCTACCACCCCCTTTGCCGTCGCGCCGATTCTTTTTGCTCCGAGCGTGCATCGCGCGTATATCGCGACCGGAGAACCCGGTTCGTCGGGTTAATCCAGTTTACCTACCGATGGCCGATGAGCCGCCGATCCGTTTTATCCGTCCGTCCATCCGTCCATTCGTTCGCTTCATCCTTCTTTCTCCTTTTCTCGTACTTTTACTCTGTACGTTTCTCGTTTGAACGTACGCGATGCTCTCTCTCTCTCTCTCTCTCCCCCATATTTTTTCTCCTCTTCCTCCGCTGCTACGGCTTCCTCCCTCCCATCCGGGATTGATTCGAGACTTGACGTTCGAAAGGCTCGATCGTTCGTGCGGGCCATTGCGAGGAGAAAACTCGCGAGATGAAAATTTCCGCTATTCCCGTCGAGCGAATCACTGCGATTTCCGATCTCCTGTTGCACGGCGAAATGCGAGCGCGAAAAATCGATCGAAGTTAGGTTACAGCTGATTGATCGACGTGCGGTCCGATCAGTGTTTACTTCGAAATCGAACGCGCGAAGTTGCCGCTGGACGATCTCGCTCGTGGTATCATTTGGCGATGTCTGGAATCGTTCGACTTTTTTAAATCGCGATTTCCACCAGCGTTCTCCCGCGCTCCCGTTTTCTTCTCGCGGATTCTCCTCTTACGCGCGTCGGCGAGGGAGTGCGCATTGATCTCGCGTTTACGTGCGGGAAGCGAAACTCTGGGGAAGAACAAACTTCACGTTTTAGCCGCGGAATTGGGCTCGGGAAAAGTCGTTAAACTGAAATTAGCCGGTCACAAACCGCGACTCGTTGTAACGATCGCAACAGTTAACTTCTAATTCGCGATCGCGGTTCTTGCGATCTTGCGGCGCTGATCGAGAATCCATAATTCCATCGATCGAATCCAAGAGACTCGGGACGCGGACGGCGCTTCGAGGCCGGGAAAATCGGAGATGGAGGACGAGGCCGATCCGACCGGCGAAAGATTGTCTTGTCCGTGGATTTACGCGTAACCCGCTTTCTCGCGCGAGAAACGATTGATTCGCGCGCACTGTCAGCCACCGTATGCGCTTCGCTCCGATTCGCGGATCGGCGCTTCCGATTCCCACGCCATGTTTGTATCGGCCCGCGAGACCCGGCTCATCTCTCTCGGCGCGATGCACCTTATTGCCGCGCGTTTACTGCCTTGCACGGGGAAAGTCGGCGGTTAACTTTGACGTTTAACGGACGGATCCGTGAGGAAACACTATTGTCGGCTTCGAGTTGAGTACGAGTACTTTCTAAAAAAAAGAGAGAAATATCCCGAACGAGGAGTACCGATCCATTGTTTGCGTAACCTGCTTACGTTTCGCATCGTTTTCTCGTCGCTATTTCGAAGATCGTTTTTTCTACTACTCGAAATTGTTTATTATCATTTCGAATTTGGTTAATGGCTAATCATGGTTTCAGATTGGCGCTCTATGTATATGAGTACTTGTTACATGTGGGGGCACAAAAAGCAGCACAAACATTCCTGTCGGAGGTAATAATTTGTAAAACTTTTTTTTACAACTGTATTTTTGCGAAATATTGTTTTACTATAGCACGATTTGCTCTGCTTATTGTTTAGATACGATGGGAGAAAAATATTACACTGGGAGAGCCACCTGGGTTTCTACACTCATGGTGGTGGTAAGTATTTTACAACATTAAAGGAAATTTTCAAATATGGCAGGAATGCTCTGATGTTAAGTAATTGTTATGAAATTGTTTTTCAGTGTCTTTTGGGATCTGTACTGTGCAGCGCCAGAGAGGAGAGACTCTTGTGAACACAGCAGTGAGGCCAAAGCATTTCATGACTATGTAATTATATTTATATAAATGTAATTATATTTACATTTATAATAATTTTCTAACTCATGTAGAATAGGTATTATTGACCGCTCATATTGAAATAAATTTTAAAATCAAATATAATAAATTCATAAGCATTTCAATATATTTCATATTATTTACATTGCATATTTTGTTACCAGGGATTCGTGAACAGTGCTTACAACGTCAATGGCATTGCTCACGTAAGTTGAAAGATTTAGATCAAATTAATATATCTGTCGTTAAGTTGTTATATATTTAAATATTTTGACATACATTTATGTTGAGAGATACAGAAAATCAATATAAATATATATATTTAATTATAAAAGAATATATATATTTTTTTTTGTAATTAACTTTCTTGCAGAAAGAAGCAAGTTGACATTAAAAAGATTAAAGTTACAAATATTTACAGAATGCTGGACCAGCCCCATCTCCAATCGGTCAAATGCCACCAAATGATGGAATGCCCGGTGGTCCTATGCCTCCTGCTTTCTTCCCAGTGAGTTTTTATTTTATGATAATATCAAAATATCTTAATATCATTGGTTTTGGTCTTTATTTACAGAGTATATAAAGCGAAAAAGCCACAATTATTTGAATAAATCGGTCGTTACGTAATTGCATTCTAATCTTACATATTATATCGGTTTATATATTTTGACTTAACTTTAATAAATTATGAATTATGAAAAGGTTTATTCCATTTTAATCCATTAATTATTATAGTGAGTATATTTCTTTACTGAATTGATTTCAATAATTAGATTAAATATTTTGGAAAAAATATATATTATTAATATAACAAACAAGATTCGGAATAGCTTCTTAAATTAAACTAATTAATATGTGTACGTACATGAATATATATGATAGAATATTTATTATTATCATTATGAATAGTTCTTGTTTCAAATTTACATTTGCTTCAAAGCATAATATAATTAAGTTTAATTCTAAATAAAGATTAAAACTTGATCTAGTAATAAGTCGAAAATAATTTTAACTTAATAGACTAAGAGAAAACTGATAATATTTAAATAAATAAAGAATATGTCAATTTTACTTCAGTATCTTTTATAAATATCATATTTTGATATAGAAACCATTAATTGATATAGAAATAATTTTTAGATAAGTTTCGTGTGAATAGATAACAAAACCAATCTTCATTTTTCCTCTTTTTTTATTGAGTTTTAAAACGAGTTAAAAAATGACATAAATTTTACATAATCTATACTTATTTAACTAAGAATATTAATATATCTTTATATATCATCGATAAATACATACACTTACACAAACACTCTAGTGTAGTCATGATCAACTTGTTTTTGAAACAAGTGTACATTCAAAAAACATTCTTATGTCATGCTTGTCTATACTGTATATATGTACTTACTTTCTTTCTGCTCTCTATCTAATACTTGTATGTGCGTTCTTGTACCATTTTCATTGTTTCATCTCCTTGACGCATAAAGCAAATTTAGAAATTATGAAAACAAAATTATATAGATGTTAGAATACATTTAGAGCACAATATTGTGATACAGTAAGCATATCATGACGAGTATACTACTTTGTGCTGGTCATGTCAAAGTGGTATATGAAAATATTGCGGACATGGACATTATTGTTTGATTTATTTTATATTTGCAGAATAGAAATTTCAACATTTTCTTGAATACATAACCAGCCAAAGTTATACTCTTTAGAATGTATGGGACAACTAACATGGAAGCCTGCTTAGAATGTAGACTAGTTTTTTTATAAATAGTCTACGACCTCTTTATATTATTTGGCAAATGTCAATTACAGAAACATTATATACTATATAATTAAATATATATAACGTTTATAAAAGAAAGTGAAAAGATTTATAATCTTAAAGTATATATGAAATATGTATGTAAATATATGTACATAGTATTACATAATCTAATAAAATATACGCGTTTGTTGAAATTGCAATCACATACAAGAAATAAAAATTAACGATTTTTTTCTGTTACTACTTGATCAATTCTTTTATAAAATGATATTATATAAATGATATAAATATGATTTTGTATAATTATTGATCTCAATGACAACCATAACATTTATATCAACTGTCTATTATATATGAAAAAAATTATAGATAATATAAACACAAATGTATGTGGAAATGAGAAAACAAAGAAAAATTATGCACTTAGTGCTTGTCAAAGTAGTCGTCCCTTACTAGATTAGATAAAGATAATATGCTACACAATATATAAGCGATATACAGTTTGTTCCTAGATTTTTCTATATACATAAGTATCCTGTAATGCTTAGGAGTCATCATGTCTTTCCAACGAAGTCGTTTTACGTTCTATAACGCTGTACATTTTATAATTGACTGGCATCTTTTCGTACTCTTGTATGTCTCGTTTCACAGTTTAATGTTAGAAGCGATTTCGCATCAGAGGTTGTAATTATGAAAAGAGGATATACAACGGCAGACACCGAAACGCCATTCGAACGATTTTCCTAATTACAACTTCCTCACGGGTAACTCTTAAGATGCTGAAACCGACCATAGTATTAACACAATCATCCCCAAAGCCTTCTAGTCTAGCTGTTGCCTGGATCGCAGTGTTGCTACATGTCTGTCGTTTGCGTTGCTTGTTGCAGAACAACTCGACAATGCGACCATCTCCGCCCACACACCCCTCATCACAGCCATCCCCCCAGCACCCCCAGCCACCCCCGCCCCCACACTCGCAGATGATGTCCACCCAGGTAAGCCTCATTCAACACATACACTCTCACTCATAAAGAATCACTTGTTCCGCTCTGTCATCGCACCATATCATGGTATAACCGAAGTTCACGACTGCCATTACAATCGCTGTAATTGTTTCCTTCGTGATGTCCTTCATGATTTTGCTTTTATACAGAAATATAGGGTTTATCAAAAAAATTCGACGTTTTATTAGTAGTTTTATTATTATACTAATTTATACTATACAATTAATAAATTTCATCTACAATTGCCATAAAGTGCTTAAGAAAACAGTGTATAATGACATAACCAACTAATGTGCTGCGATGAACTTGAAATGCATATTTTATGGCCTATCATCTCACGGATTGCTTATTGTGGCTGCCTGATATTTATACTATATCTAGTCAATTCTATGTATAGTAATCACGATTGACATATTATGAGTACTTAATTTACACCTTCAAATTACAACTAAAATTGATAAATTTTGATGATTATGTTCAATTTGATGAATATTTATTTTTTGTTACAGTTTATGGGGCCAAGATACCCAGCTGGACCACGACCCGGTGTACGTATGCCACAAATGGGAAATGACTTTAATGGGGTGAGTAGAAGTCTCAATTAACGTTTGGATTTCTGTTAATGTTTTAAGATATCTTGTTCAAATAAATTAAATTAAATAATGTTACATTTTAATATTTTTTACAGCCACCAGGACAGCCAATGATGCCAAATAGTATGGATCCTACCAGGCAAGGTAAGAGATCATTTATAGGCCAGTGTTACATTATTTTTTTCTGGCATTGACGAGAGTTGCGAGAGGAGAATGGCATAGACGCATGCGTACCAAAAACCACACAGCAATAAACGAATAAGTAATATTTTAAATTGGATTGGATTGCTGTGATGTGGAGTGGATTGGTTTTTGAATTGTCTAGTTATACAAGCAGTGGTGTAGTTTGCGTTCGATTGTTACTGCTAGATATTCAGTCTTGTGTACTTAGTATGTAAATATGTATTTCAATGGTTCTCTTTATCAAATATTTTATTTTATATGCTTTTATATAATCTTTTTTTTTTTCTTAATTTTTCTTTATAAGTAATTTACACATATCGTTATATATGACATTTATCTTTCAGGACATTCTATCATCTTACAAATCAGACTTGAAAAATGTAGTATTTACGATTAAAAAATCTTATGCTCTCAAAACATAATAATCAATAATACATTACGAAGTATCAAAAGTATTATGAATTTTTATATATAATGGTTAAACGGCTTGGCTTTCGAAAGATATATATATATATATATTTAGATATAATTTAATCATAAACTTAATTGTCAATATGATTTATTCCAATTTCTACGAATAATTTTTAAATAATTCTTTAATAAGTTGCATAACTCTTAGATTCGGAAGCAACTTTATCTACTATACCACTGCAAAATAACTAGGCTTTACCACCATGAACCCGATCTTACCTACCTGCCGTACTAATGTGTGCTCTTGTGTTCCTCAGGCGAAGCTGGAGAATTTGTAGGGTGGCAAGGTAGGAAGCAACCCAAATCACACTCACATGACTTAGTCAAGCCTAACTTTTATTTTTTCTCCTCCTTGCCTTTAATTTTTTTTTTAATTTCTGTTTTCATAAAGTTAATTGCACCGGCTTTGCTCTTTTGCAAATGATTTGCTCATCCGAACTAGCATCCAGCATGACATCGCAATTGAGTATATTATATTTAGTTATGTG